ACCACTAAAAACTGACCCTGTATCAGCTAAAAGTCCGGGTGTAAAATTAGGAGTTCTTCGCAATCTTCTCAAAACGCCATTATTTTCAAGTGGAGCTTGACACTTTGTGTCCCAAAGCTTTGTCAGCAGTGAATCTGGACCATGATTTGCATTTTCCTCCCCCCCTCGTGCCTGTGGATGATTGATGACTCATCCAGGGCGACTAATAAGAGCGTACTCCGGGGCATATGTATTTCATAACTAAGCAACCTTTTGTGTAACAGCAAATGTTGTGAATCTGTGGCTCAGCGTACGACCAAGTGTTGTTTTAATGCACAAACCATCTGTTCACAACACACACGCCACTGTAACGATTGTCAGGAGACGTGTGTGTGGTTTGTATGAACAACCACTAAAATGTGTCTCCATTGTTAACCACTAGATCACAGTGGGATTCGGTTAATAATTTCATGTAAATTAGAGTTATGTAATAGCTTTAGTTTATATCATATAAACTTAAATAGGCATTTCATTACAGTTGGCAGGTGGTAATTAAGACGTGTACAGCTATCAGTATACAATATATCAGTTCTGGATGTGTAATAGCTGCAGTCTTCTCTCCGGCTACATCAATGTAAGAATAAACTGACTGTCAATCAATTAAAAAATGTAATTACAATTACTTTTTGAAACACAGTGAGCGCTCCTTAACATGTTTTGTTGTCATGTTTCGGAGTTGTGCGAATGAGTGCGTATAGCTTTGTGAAAAAGCAGCTTTTCCTGAATGGATCTGATTAATGTCAACCACAAAATCACTCATCTGGGTTTTAGTTTTACTTCTCTCCTGCTTTTCCCCCCATTTTGATGGGGACAAATTGCCTTTCAGCTTAAGTATATGGCGTGCACAAAACAGCTTGCAAATATTAGAAACATATTTTTCAAATTCTCTAATTTATCAAAAACTTTGAATTAAGTCACTAGCGACTCTCTCATTTTCTCTCTCTTGCACTTTCTTCTTCTGTCTCCCTTTTTGTCTTTTTTTCCCCCCATTCTTCCTCTCGCTACTTACCTTTCTGCCTTCTTTCTCTTTCTACCTCTTCTCTCTCTGTAAGAGAGACAACCTGCATCAGGAAGTCATTTATCAAAGCCGACAGAGGCTTTTGGCGTCTTGCAATTCCTGTAGCACCTCCAGCCTCTTTCAACAGATAAAGATTTTCAAAGCCTGGTTTAATATAGTTATCAATGACTATGGTGAGTTTGCTAGTCACATATATTTACTTCTTTCTTTCTTTGTCAGGTGGAAATGCCAGGGCTAATAGATAATGGAAGCTGTCCACTGAAAGCAAGGGTACGACATGCTTTAGGTGGATTCATTTCTCTTTAATTCCTTGACGCCGCTATTAAAAATTCTCGCTCTCCAGTGACAAAAAAAAAACAAAAAAAACATTGGACAAAGGTCAGTGGATGTGTATATTAGACCCTGTGAGTCATATAACAGAGATCGATAGACCAAGTTCATCAGATTAAGACAAGATCGATTAAACAATGAACTAAAATTATACGTCTTAGTAGAGAACACATCTTACAGCTACAGTTGTCTTTGTGTATTCATGCAGGTCAGTAAAAACATCAAACATATTTTAACTGAAAATGTAGCCAATTACCTGAATCACAGCTCTGTAAAACTACAGGATGTAACAACATCATTTTACAATGTGTATATATGTGTCTGTTCTTGCAATTCTATCTTTGCAAGGACCTGTTCAGAGATTTAAACCCCGACTTCTCTGCCCCTAAACGTAGTTCCTTGCCAGGAGCGGGTGGTGGTGATTGTGGCTGGATAAGAGCTTCGACCATCGTTGCATTTACAAGACAAGAGGTTATAATACTTCTGAGCAGCGCTACGTCTTCAGCGTAGATTGGAGGCTAAAGTGAGTCGCTATTGGAAAGTGACGAGACAGGCCGGGGCTAGCTGGTTAGCATGCTAATTTCAGTAGAAGAGAAGACGCGATAAAGACAAGAGTTAACATTGACATTGCAATAGCAAAACATAAAATTAGCTGGTTAGATTTCGGTTCATGTCATGATAAGTGTTGGGGCTAGCCATGTATAGCAAGCTGGTTAAACCTTTGGGGAATAAATGAAAGCCTGTAAACAAGGGAATGAGTTTGATTTATTTTTCCCAACATTATTTATGCAAACAGCCCAGTTCAGAAAAGCCAAACTGGTGGAACAGAGGCACCACAGAGAAAAATAGTCGTTCTATTGGTTGGTGAGTTTTGAAACACTAGCTACTACTAACACCACTAACTGTCTCTTCCCTGTAGTTCCATAACAAATCAGTTATGTAAGTTCTCAAAAATGGCCGCCCCACTCTTCCTCACAGAGCCCACATGACTCCGCTTGAGAATCAGATGCATGAAAAGCACAACAGCCACTGCAGGTATAGTACAGGTACACATCAGCAGCACAAGAGTTACTCGTTTTGCATTTGGGAAGGAAGGTCATTGGAAAGATGCTGCACTACTGTAATTCTCTCAAGTTAAGAAAACAACAGCCACATTGAGCAATCATAACACCACACTGAGTCACAGTTGCACAAAAACTTACTCAGTAGTCAACAACTCATTTTGTATCTGCTGGTAGTGTTTGACAAATTTGTCTTTGAAGGTTCATCTCGATCATGCGGGTGGTACAACATCGCATTAATCAGAAAGGCTTTTTTAACTATTGTGGGAAATAGAGAGCCAGTATTTACTCCAGTTACCACTGCTGCTGGTTGTGGTCACCTCACAGTAATTTTAACTAGTGCAGCCTTTTGGATGAACGGAAAAACACCTTCAACCAAAACTCTCATCTGGGGATTTTGATTCAGCTTTCTCCAGACACAGACAAAAGTTTTAGGTTCCCAACTTTGACAGACTATGAGGCAAGAGACAAAAACAGAGTCAAGCAAAAGCTAATAGCTCAAGGTGAAACTCTGCAACGTTGTGATTTAGTTTTAGTTAAAAGAACAAATCCCACCAGGAGGCTCCACCTGAGGCTGCTCTGTCCTCATTGTGCTGACTAGCAGTGCTGCCACTATGTTGCATTTCCTTGCCAGTGGGCTCATAAAAATTCACTTTGACTCTGACAACATGTTATAAAATGCAAATGAATCAATCCTGTCCACTGTGGGTAGATATAGTGTATTCAGGCTGTATGAATTGCAGTTCTCAGCTCCAATTACAGAGTGTACTGTTCGGGCATTTCCCCATTAGACAAAAGTAAACAGAAGGTATTTCAGTTCTTCCGTTACAGACCTTATACCCCTCTGACACAGGAAAAGATCTCAAATTCTCCCAAATATTTCTTTAACTTTCTGTCTTTTAATCTCTGCCTCATCTCTTCTTCCTCTGCAAAATGGGTGTTTTTACCATCAGGATAAATAAGTAAATGTGCAGTGACTTGCCACCTGCTGTTAAGCAATACTGACAGAAAAACCGTGTTCTTGGCCCGGTGCCTTCCACATATACTGAGAACAGGAATATCACCGCTCTCCTCCCTGCTGCTTCCAGACTCGCATTACATCAGGGCACCATGCAAACCCCGTCTCTCCCTCACAGTTCATCTATCATGATGAAACACTGCAGGGGGATGATGACTATATTCACACATCCCTGCATTCATCTTGGGTCCAGATCATTTTAGAGGAAGGGAGATTGCCCTCGGAAATAGATCTCCTTTGTGGCCTTGTATTTTATTCAGTTTCAGATGATATATATTGATTCCTGTAGGAGAAAGAGTAAAGTCTTCTTTTTTCTTTCACAATGAGGTCAAAGGTCAGGGTCAGCCACAAAACAATAGCTTCAGACCTGAGATTTACTTCAGCAGGGTGGACACCAAAACCGGGATAGCTATGCAAGTCCTTCTAAACACTAATTTATCTGATTAATTAAGTTGTGCACAAGGAAGTCACAAGTGGCTCCAGTGTCCTGAGATTTCTGTTCCTTGCTAGTAGTTAATGAGCCAGATGTTTTGTGAGACCAGAGGTGGCTCAGGTAGTGTCTTGTACACAGCTATGGTTTATTCTCTCAACATTTAGCCCACTTTACTCATAAACCCCCACTGCTTGTCACTTCTCTCCTTCTCCCTCCCTGAATTGAATGACCAGGAGAAACGTCTTGATTTGAAATCTGTCTTTCAGCTTCGGTTCAGTTTGCACTCTCCAACCCCGCACGGCTCCTTTTACTGTTTTGTGCCATGAGGCAATCAAACAGATTTACAGACACACACACATGACCGCGACAGCTCAAAATGGAAAACACGGTTCACGTGTTCTGTAGGAAGAGCCACAGGGACGCCACAACAAAGTCATTTTGTCTGGGTTAGTGATTTTGAGACATTATTTCCTGTAGCTGTTTTATACATAGAAAACAATCATACTTTAACAACTGGCCTCCCTCCTACCAGTAATACCTAAAACCCTCATAATAAACTGAACCCATGTAACACTGGATCCTCAAAACATTACTATACTTCACAGTGTTGAATGAAGCAGGTAAAACACACAGTATGCTGAAGCACTTAATTCACCCCATCACTTAAACCTGTAGCGCTTTATGTTATAGCTTCAATTTTAACTTAATAACATGAAAAGTGAAAACATGTTTCTAGAAATTTTTACAAAATCATCAAAAATTTAAAGCTGAAATCTGTCATTCTGTTTCTCACTGAGAGAGTTATGTTCCTCCCAGCCCTGAGCCCAGTATGTGGCTCGCTGTGGTAGATTTTCTTTTACAGCGCTCTGAAAGTTGTCAGCTGGGATTCAAAGCTTCTCCCTTGAGTCTGAACAAAAAAATAAAAACTGCCAAGTTTACCTCTTCGAAAGTAAAATTTTGGACTCAAATACTTATCTCATATCAGGTTTTCTTCCTAATGCTCCTTTCTGTTTTAAAGAATAAAGTGAAAAGACTGACAGGGCACAGCTGGCTCAGACTGTGAACTCTCAGCAGCGCCGCAACCTTTATTTTCACTCTTACCTTTCTGTAGACAATCATGTTGGGGGAGTCGTCGTCTGGGTCAACGCTGCTCATGGACCTCATGGACAGCAGAGGTCGGGCCGGGGTCGTCTGGACGCTCTCCTTTGGTTCTTCAGGCCCTTCGTTGGGCTCTGCCGCCCCCACAGGACTCTGCTGCTCCTGCTCCTGCTTCTGCTCCTGCTCCTCCTCCTGCTGCTGCTTCTCCTGCTTCTGCTGCTGAGGTGCCTCAGCCATCATTACACGCTCTCCTTGAGTCTTTACCTCCTGCGTTGAGTTATCCCCTCTTCTTTATCTGCGTCAGACTCTCTCTTCCTCCTCCTTTATGTCCTCCTGCGCTCTCTCTTCAGTGTCTAGGGGCTGCTGTAGGGAGAGGGAGAGGGGGAGGGAGAGAGAGAGAGGAGAGAGAGAGAGAGAGAGAGAGAGAGAGAGAGAGAGATGAATTAGACAGCACAACTCACCGCTGGGCTTCAGTCTCCCAAGTCTTGCTTTTTTTTCTTGTCTTCTGTCAGCAGGCAGAGGATGGATGAAATAAAGGCATCATAAATTCTCCTAGTTTTCTCTGTTATCTCTTCCCTGCGATTCCTCCTGGTCTACTGTCACATGAGATTGAACTTACAGGAGAATAGAAGACATCAAGTTTAAATTTTGCTCCTTTTTTTTTTGTCCCTGCAGCATCTTTTCTTTTTAGTCACTCGTCTCAAGAATTTATAGGATGTTGTATTTGCTGTCAAACAGCACAGAGTAAAACCATTACAAGCTTATTTTTGCCATTGTAGAGAGTGATGTCATGTCTTGCAAACACTTGTTTTTGCAAAGAGAAAACATGACTCAACTTCTTATTATTTATGCTCCTGGTTTCCAAATCCTTTGCATGAGAGACACAATTCAAAAGATGGAAATCTTGCAGATGATTCCTAGTCTTATTTCCAAATCATTTCCTACTCAGTCATCTAATGTTAATCCTTCCAAACATCTCACAAACAGAGGCTAATTTTAGGTTAGATAAATAGTTATTCATGACAGGACATATTTTACAAGTGTGGATTTGTTTCATTTTATTTAGGGAGAGGTGAAGTGATCAGTTAGCTCTTTTGGCTATTTGTTATTTTAATATAATTTAACTGTCACCATGTGAAAATGAGCAGAAGTCAAAAGGTCTAAGTCATTATGAAATAAGGTATCTGCAAAGTGAAGGAAATGAGCACAGCAAGCATCAATTATTCAAAAAAAAAGGAAAAAATCTGTCACTGCAGAACCACACAGAACCACCATATAACATTCATACCATGTGACACACACACACCCCCCCACACACACACACAAACAAACACACTTTGTATCCAATAACTCAGGCCTGTCAGCTCTTTTTTGATGGTCTGACAGCTGTCAAAATATTGACGCCCGAGGACATTCGAGGTGAGAGAAGAAGAAGAGTGAAGGTGGAGAGGGGAGAGGAGAGAAGAAAGAGGAAAAAGAAGAAGAAGAAGAAGAGTAAACACTGAGGTCTCTAAGAGAAAAAAGGGATACAAGTTGAAAAAGTGTCCTTGCAAACAAGCTCGTTCCTCCCTCTGACTCTCGACTCCACCTCCCACATCTCTGTGTCTTTCTCCGTGTCAGATTGGAGCAACATCACTGTCCCAGCCGATTACATCCAGACTCTAACTGGGACCAAGTCTCTTTCCATTCAGTCCACCCTAAATGGAAGACGATTGCTGCCTTGTACTTTTTCCATCAAAACATACTCATCTTGAGAAAGTTGCTTTTCTTACTGAAACTGAAAATGAAACTATTAATGTAAAAATAAGGTTGTATTGGAAAAATTGCATTGGAAATTGTTTGGGAAATCTAAGGGAAAACCCAGTTGTTTACTCGACTGAAATGAAATGGAGTGGTTCTCAACTTTGATTGCAAACTTCACAAAGAAAATGTAAATGATACCTGGGGTCAGTATTGTAATAATTTGCAAATAGCAAATGCTTCTTTCTGATGTAGTTAAATAAACACTTACTTGAATTTGACATCTTGTCTGCTTGCATTTAAAATCAATTAAAATGAATCAACTTCATTGCATCTCTACTTATTAGTTTATATGGTATCGTTCTATTCCACTTTATATGATTTATCATTGCTGTGAACTTCCTTTTGTGCCAAATAGTTGAGCATCTCACAAGGCTTCAAGTTTCCTAGAAATCTGCTTTATCCCAGGAAACACAGTATTTGAAGATTCACAGGTTTTGTTGTGCAACGGTGATAAAGACTGAACTGAAGTCATGTTGGTTCAATTCATAATCAAACCTCTGTGATTAAATTGCCAGTAAAATTGTCTGTACATCTCAAATGGAGCCTCCTCTCGTTTCCAGGCAGGTGAAATACTTTATAAAGATCAACATACTCACAATGAAATGTAAAGCTGCAAACAGGCCATAAGAGTCGACTGTGGAGAAAAGGAGGATTTCCACACTTAAATCCATCGCAAACTTAAAGATAAAGACTTGTCAGACCTTCACCAGGCAAATGTTTGACAAGAGGAAGCCCAGAGCTTTTAATGACGTCTAATGGAGCACACCTGTGCTGTGTCACGCAAGTGCACATGGGTAATGCAGTTCACAACTGTAGTTCAAATACTTAGAAACTGCACAGGCACAATATATCACAAAAACGGGATAAATCAACACAAAAGAAACAATCAGGAAACAATAAAAGATCACAAACCAACTGGAAAGTCATCGCTTAGTGAAAGAAAACCCTCATATACAATACTAAATCATGCAGTTCATGTCAAAATTCACATTTATATGTATGTATACAATAAAGCTCTCTTTTAGAAAGTATTTTTTGGTAGTTGTACATGCTGAGTACCATGGCATCATTAGCCTGCTGGGGGGCTCATTTGTTTAATTAAACAGTCATCAAAAGAACAACAATTTGTGCTTTCAGAAGCAGTTGAGTTACAGGTTTCCCACTGACGCTGAGAAAGAAAGAGAACACTGAATTATTCCTTTAAGCTGTGTGAGGTTTCCTGCATGTTTACCTGATCACAGTTATTCTGCAAGACTCTGTGTTAGTATTTAAGTTTACAGCTGGTGCACATGACAAAATCGATGCTGAACAATGTGTTCCAGTGTTCAGTAGACACTACCCTAATGCTGGTTGGCTGTGAAGTATAGAGAGCCACTTGGTTCTGTGTGTTCGTGTGAGTGTGTGTGTTCTTTGCTGTTAGCGCAGGCATTTAGCTCCATGTCAACCAGCTGTTTGGATCAATACGCTCATCAGCCAGCTGTTTGTGCGTCTCTGAGTTGGCGTGTGAACATACGAACCCAGTGTGAATGCTCGAGCCTAAGAGAGCTGCTACATGTGAGGAAAAGACACTCGGCGTGTGTTTAAAAATCCAAATTGGAGAAGAATTCAATGCATTTCTAAATCAATGGCTCTCAACCATGCCGTCCTCAATACAGGTGAACCATCTGCTTAGCAGGAATTTCAAACCTGCAGCTCACACTGAATAGAAATGCCTGATTTGTTTCTCAATGGTGCTCAAGTTGCTCCATTGCTCCATGTCTGGAAACACATGTAGCCCTGCTGGCCCGGGATCAATACCTCCAACGTTCGCTCGGACTCTTTAATTTTGCACATAAATGCAGACGGACGCTCGTCTGATTGGTCCAGATCACACAGTGACTCAGAGGGGCATCTCACCCTTCGCTCTTTCACATTCTGTAGTTGTGCTAATTGCTTTGAAGGAGCTGTTGTGTCAGGTGTGGTCACCTTAAGGGGGAAAGAAAATACAACACACATTTGACTTAATACCTCATCTATCTGTCTAAATATAAATGGATGTGAGGGTGGACAATCTGAGAATTAGACCCCGTTTCTACTTGATCAGATGACCTGTCCTATGATCTGCTTCATTTCAAGCACGCTACTTAAAATAATTCTCTGATGTAGCTGTCTTGAGAGCTGAGCTCCTAAAGGCAGTTTAGAAAGAACATTTCCCACTTTACGACAAACTCAAAAGAGTCTCAACAGTTTTGGACGTGATTTACTGTCTCCTGAGCAGCAGTGAGTGGGAACTACGTCCAGAGGAAAGTATAAAGTAAATCTTTCACCTTTACAGCCTCCTCCATGCCCTTTGGTATAAATCATCACTGACTGTGTGGGTTGGTAAATATGACTTTGCTATGTGCAGTTTACTGACGTCACACTATGGGATTTTAAGTATGATGATGCTATGATTTTTCCCAGCATTAATCCACCACACACCCAGATTTAGGAAGTCAGCTGGAGACTAAAAGAAAACCATGACATTCGTTTGTATGAGATATTATTCTAAGTTAACCTGAGAGCACTTAGAGCTGGAAATTTCTAGTACCAACCTTCTTTCTTCGCACCACCTGCTGTGATGACAAGAGGAAGATGCGGAGCGAGAGTTCTCACTGTTTTCTAAAGTCCCAGCTTTTGTTTTCCCTCTGGACCCTCCACAGGGCAACACACACCCACCGTTTTCTTCACCTCCCATCATCCTCTGCGCTACAGGCGAGACTGGATGAGATGTTTTACACCGTAGGACAGCTGTAATGTAAGGGACGCCATCGATTCAGCAGCCAGCCATTTTTATGCTCAGGGAGGAATAATGGTGAAGGAATAATAAACCTGTGTGTGTGACACTGATCACTGGGCTCAGATTTTGTGTGAATGATTAAGTTTGAACTATCTTACATGATTTGCTGCAAAGGAAAGCTGATGAAGTTTAATTTGTGGCATTTATTTTGTTCGAAATAAATCAAGGATAACTTAATCAACTCCACACAGATCGATTTACTGTGCTGCGTGAGATACTGGACAAACTCCACCTCACTGCAAAATGATTCCAGGAATTATTATAGTACATGGCCAAAAGCGTGTAGTGACAAAGTATGTGGCTACATCTCATTACACTCATATGTTATTGTAGGAATATCTCATTGCAAAACCATGGCCCGCTATACCTGCTGTGTAACAGCCTGGACTCTTACGGAAAGGCTCCCCAGATTTTTGGAACCTGCAGGTGCTGCAGG